AAATCTACTAGTTCTACAACAAGTTCATTTACTGAACTTAATTTTTATTTGCAAGCAAATTTTTCTAATTTAGGTGAAGTATCAAATAATTTTGATATTTTAGCCTGGTGGAATGAACACTTGAAAAATTATTTGGTTCTCACCGCCATGGCACATGATCTACTAACCCCTCTAGTGTCTACAATTCCATCGGAGTCTTGTTTTGGTGCAAGTACCAGGGTGCTAGATGACAAAAGAAGCTGCATGAACGATGAAAGCATAGAGATGTGCATCTACTTTAAGGATTGACTAGATGTGGAAAATAGATTACAAGACAAGGGAGGGCATAATACAACACCAAACATTTCACGCAAAGCAGATGATGAAAGTTATGAATATCATTCATGAATTTGATTACTTGTAGAATTTTTCATTTTTTCAAATTATTGTAAATTTTGTAAATTTCATTTAATTTATTTGATATATATATTTTTTATTTTTTTAACAATGTAATTTTGTATTTTCAATTTGTAACCATATTGTATTTTTTATATTTTATTAATTTATTCCATTTTTATATTTCACTCATCCAAGTATGCAATGATTCAATCATTGTATTTGTAATATTCAAATTTAAATGAAATAAAATTTCTATTTTTCTTCAAATTTGTTATTCCATCATTCTTATTTCAATTTGTTTTTTTTTTTCATTTATGTATTAAATAAGTCAGATTTCTCATTTCTTAATTTTTTAAATAGTTCATAATTCCCAAAGTTCATAGAAAGTTAAATATTTTAGTTTTACAATTTTACTTAGAAATGAAATCAAAATTTTCAAAAAATAAAAAGAAAAAAAAATAGTGCAGCCCGGTTCGGGGCAGGCCCAACCCGACACAGCCCAAGCCCATGACACGACCTACAACCCAACCCGGCCCAAGCTCGTGTTTCGTGCCGTGCCTAGGCCATGGGCCGTGTCGGGCCAACCCCCAAAATTTATACTGGGGAGGATGGCATGGCCCGTGGCAGCCCACTGGCCAACACGACATGGCCCACTTTACATCTCTAGTTTGGCTACTTTCTCCAAAAACAGTAAAATATAAATGAAAATGAAAGTAAACTATACGTGATTGGTTATATCCGTGTGTTTAGAAGCGTGGGCATTTTTTCAATAAACACTACCACATCACATAGGCACCACTTCAACACTTCCCCTCTCATGCTCTTCTGTAATAGCAACATGTGACTTTAGTTTCTTTGCATGCCTACCATTTGGTGGAATTATTTTTTAAAAGCTTCTCCCAACGGTTAAGCGTTTTTCACTGTTATGCTGATGTGGTGCCTAGTGGCACCTAATTGTCATAATCTGTTGCAATTATTACCTTTCTCGGTTTTGCAAGCAAATAAAGTACAAACTTTGAATGCAAAAATGCCCACGATTCCAAATACATACTATATGAAACCTCTTCTTTTTTATGTTTAATGCTATGTCTATTGTTAAATTATTAGCACTTTGACCTATATTCTTTTTTGTTTACGCCCATCTCTTATAGTCCCTTCAATTTGCAATACATCACTTCTTATAAGTGTTTTAAAGGTCTTCTATGCATATGACAACCATTTCAATCTAATCTCATTTTATTACTTATTATTAGAGATATTCCGAGGTAGATCTGTTCACAGGCTAAGCCCACTCAAATTTTGGCAAAAGCCAAGCCAAGCCCAACCCATGAACAGGTTTATTCCTAGGTTCCTTTGACTGACTTCATTTCCAACCTTATCATTTTTGTTTTCTCTGAAGTCTAATATATGAAAGTGCAATAATTACATTAAAAGATATATTGGTATTGGTGAACTTTTCTTTCATCTAGACTTTGAATGCAAAGAATGTTGTAAATTTTGAATTTTGAAAATTATCAAATATCAAACATCAAATATCCATTTTGACCTCATATATGAGAGCTTTTGTTTGTATTTTTTGGGGAATCATTGGAGAACAAAAAGTTGCATGATTGCATTTTAAGAAATAAGAGATAAGAGGAGACAGACACCCATTTTTCTCTTAAAGTTGAAACATTCCTCTTAAAAGATAAGAGTTAAAAAGAAACAAACAGGCCCTTACTCTCCACTCATCCATATCGAAATACACATTTCTACTACTGTTTTTGGATATGCCATTTCATAACTGCCTCAACCCAGAGACTTCGGATCCAAGTAACTACAGAATTGCAAAATATAATGGATCACTTGGTTCAGCTGTTCAGGTTGCAGTTCGTGGTTCGCAATTTATACAGTATAGTTTGTCTTGTCATTTATTTCTGAACCCGGATTTATATTTAAACAGTGATCTTATTTATATGAAATAGTAATGAAGACCTCAAATCCATAGTTCCTAAACACCATAACTTATTTATTCAACAATTAAAATTCAAAGAACACTGTTAATCTGCCGCTACTAGAAAATCTAGTATCCAATAACATTGAAACATAAATGATGAATTATAGTTTCTAATGTTACAAAGAAACAAACCTAAATCACTAGGTTGCTCAGTAATATAAATGCACATGGACATTAACAAGGATGAAGGTAAGAAATAATTCCATGAAGTTAAAAATAAGCCTGATAAGCAGAAAAATAGGATAAAATTTAGAAACATGATACATTTTCAGTTGACAAGATGAAGTTGCACGTGGAGTAAATGGACGCAGCTGCTGCCCTAATAGCTAATTCTCTCTCTGTGTCATCTGCTTTCGTTAATCTGTAAAATCAATGTTGAGCAGTTTGTGTGGTGAAAATCTATGACTCCGCAACAAAAAGAGGTAGTAGGAGGAAGTAAATCATTATGTTGAACACACCAATGTGATGAATACAGAATACCACCAAGCAAACAGCCAAAGAGCAAAAATCTATACAATAATATATAACCAACTTAAATAACCAAACAAGATTGACTGCAACAAGAACAAGCCAGTGCAGTGTAACATCTTAGGTTTTAAACAAATTAAACTGTTTCCAAGTTACACTGGAGACTGCTGGTGAGATACAATTGCCTATTCTAAACCTACCTATATAGTTCTATTGAAAATTTCTAATCCTTAAACCACCTTTTTTAATCCTGAACTTTTCAGTCTTGAGTTGAAACAAACCTGGACTTCTGTAATTAAACCACTACAGACTTCCAAATTCAACTGTTAAAACATAGATCCTAGGGTAGTTCCCTAGGTACCATAACCATATTTATTTAATAATTATTCATGATTTTCATAAGAAAAGTATAAATTTCATATTAAAGTATAAAAAATCAACATATTCATGAGAAGAAAAGGAAGAAGGAAAACAAAATTCAAAAAATATAGGGGCTGAACCCTTATTTTTGTTACAGGATAAGAAGAAAATAAAAAGTATTAGTAGTAGAAGAAGATATGGAAGAGGAAAATGTGCTGATTAGATAAAATTTTAAGTTCTTACTTATTGGTTCAGGTTTTTAAGTCTTTGAGGGTTCAATACAGCATTTAGCAATGTTTGTGTTGATCAAACCCTAATAAATAAGAAAATAATAAAAAGAAATTAGTATATAAAGACACAAAATGATTATTTTAGTTTAATAGTGTCTATTTTATAATTATAATCTCAAAAAAGAATGAATAAAAAAGTATTTTATAGTAGGAAGCAGAAAACTGTTTGGCGATTAGGCGAGGTGAGCCTCAAAGGGCGCCTTGTCGCCTAGGCGTCGCCTTGACAACTATGGCTTGCTATCAGCTGTATGCCCGTGATCGCATGCTTTTCAGCCCAAGATTTTATCATTGAACCAAGTAATGACCCTTAAAACTTAAAATTAGCATATAAACATAATAATAGGGCCAGGTCCAATCAGGCTCTGAGGCACCTTGCCCAAGTTGGACCCACCTTTGACTGAGTTAACAGTAAGCTCAGGCAAGTCCACTTCCATGCACAAAAACACTTGGTCCAAGCCTGGCCTACTGTAGGTGGGACAAACAGTGCATGAGTCATGACCAACCTATAGTACACTGATCGAGAGGGATTGAGATCTACATGTTACAGGTCCCACCATCAGAAGTTTAAATCTAGTCCAATATACAACAGTATATTCATTTAAAGGCTTCAAGGAATATCATGAACAATCGAAAAAAAGAATTGACATATCCTGTAGAGAGTGTCTGATCAGATCACATCTATCCCAGAAGTTTCACAAAGAGTAAATGATCATAGACAATTCCCCCTTTCTGAGTGTGTATCACTCGGGGTACATTCAGGATCTGCTGCTCTCTTGGCTATGTATCACTTGATACATAACCAATCATGAGTGAACACACCAGTGTTCGGGAACCATGGGGCCCACATGACATCATACAAAACACTAGTGTATTCAGTTGTGATCGGTTCCATAGCAAGTGATACACAGCCAAGCGAGCAGCAGATCTGGGCTCTTATAAATACATGTGTTATGTGTATAAGATTGCTACATAACAATAATTATATAAAGGGATTCTCTAAAGACCAAAAATTCCTAACACCTTTGTACTTTGCTTTTAATGTTGATGAATCAAAGACTGCAACATGCACCACTTGAAGAAGGCCACTGCTAAATACATCACCCAAACCAACATACATATATAGGAAAAGGGAAAACCTATGGTGCCAGAAAGACATGACACTGGAAGGGCTTTGACCAAACAACCCCCCCTGTGAATTTTGACAAATACCACCTGATTAGTTACTGCTTTTATGATACCGGTTGATTGGTTAGAGTTTTTCTAGTATCATAGTCAAACCCATAGAAAAAAGCAATGTACTACTACATCATAAAAGCAATAATGCATGTTAATTTTTTTTAATAACTATACCTGTAGTCAGAATCCGATCCACCTACTTGCAGCAGACCATTTGCTGTAAACCAGTTCACACATTGGAGACCCTGTTCACAATGCAATTGCATTTCTTTGACTTGATCCAACCAGCGCTCCTGAGTTAAAATCCAGGAAAAAATCATATAAATGTTTGAGACACAGGCTTTATGTTTGAGACGCAAGCTTTATGTTTAAAATAAATCAATCAGGGAATTATAGAATGAACAAAAGTTCATTTTACTTTTAAAGGAGTGTTTTAGTCTGGAAAAGGCAGGACATATATATGGGTCTGGGGCACCTATAACTTGCCACGTGTTGCATGGGATTGGAAAATTAGGCGCCCCCATTATATAGCCCGAAATTAAAACATCTGTCCTATCAAAACCAATACAAGTTATATAACAAAATGATTTTCACCCATTTCATTTCACTTTTTCTTTGTAAAATACCTGAGAAATTTTCTCCACCAACTGATCATAAGCAGCAAAATAACATGGTTCTGATCTTCTACAAATGCCAATTTTTTTACACAGCTAATCTACCAGGAGGAACCCTTTCTATGGTGGGTCCTGACATCTAAAACATTAGACACATGGCAAGTTATTGAGACCCCAGAACCCTTACATTTTTTTTAGGAAAAAATAAAAAAAAGAAGGGAAGGAAGCCTAAGGTATACACTTAATTAGTGCACATGATGAGCAAACAATTTTCAACTTTGAGGATATTATGGAAAAAATGGACAAAATTATTTGATTCAGATTGTATGGCTGGTCCAGAAATTTTTGTTGGAGAGAGAGAGAGAGAGCAGATCATACTGACGATCTAATTTTGTGTGTACGGTGTACCTAAGAAATCTTCTAGTTGAGGACGTCAAATGGAAGATACTTAAACTGACAGAGGCATATTTGCAGGACAGGTGGAGAGAACCAGAACTTAAATCTCCTAAAATCAATACCTCCTGCATTCCCTTTTTAAACCACTAAAATAAAAATGTAATTCAATTTCTTTCTATTTCACTCACCAAATGTTTTCCCTCTTCAGCCAATATACCTTCCATTTGATCAAACAAAGTAGTCCACTTTGCCCGATGCATCTCTGGACTTGCAATATTGGCATGTCTATCAGTGGATGGTTTCCTAAAATAAAGGTCATTTTCTTGGTTATCAGAGAACTCTTTTGACATTAGAAAAGGCAGTTCTGTTTCAATTACAGCTCGAACTCTCTTCCTACTACGCCGCAACGCTGCATATACGGAAGAGCAACTACATAAATACTTATGGATATAATTCTTCATATCAACCTCCAGTAATCTTTTGACAAGCATGCAAGTACCTGCCAGACGTCCTTTGATGTCTTGATAAAGAAGTTCCAACCACTGAGAAGCTACAGTTGCAGCTAGAAAACAAAGGAAACATCCAAATCAGCTCAAGGTTTTTAATCCTACCTCCTACAAGTCATCTGACAAACTGCACTGTACATAAAACTACTGATGAATATGTAAGAATGGAAAGGGATCTGTCACAAACAAAAATATGTACAACAGGCTATGTAATCCAATTATCAGCAAGGGAAAATCTATGATGAGGAAAAGATGTGGTATGGGAAGAGTTTTGACCAATCAAAACCCACCCATGAATTTTGATAAATAACACCTAATTGGCTACCACGTTTATGATTCTAGTTGACTGGTCAGACGTTTTTATGATATCATATCTTTTCCATATCATAGTCAAGCCCTATCTGCAAACATGCCAGTGATCCTTTCAGGTACCAGTTGTACAGATCATTGACATTTTTACTCTTGAATGAGTTATGTAGCCTATTGTGCATGCCTTGTTTGTAGCAGATCCAGAGTTGTAAATTGTAAGATGACCTTCAACTACCAAGAAGTATTAGAGCCAGCTCAATTTTTGACCCAGATGATCTTCCTAGGAGCTCTTTTATTGGCAACGGGAAATCTATCACCAAGCCTGTTCATCACATCCTTGCAGGGTAAATGGTCTCCCTCATGAGGAATTTACTAGGCATCACCTTACATTTCATATTTCTATCCCTAGCCCAACTTCAATCATATAGTTTACAAGGGTTTGACTATGATACCAGAAAAAGGAAAGAAAGAAAGACAGAAAACCTTGTAACCAATCAACCGGTATCATAAAACTGGCAACCAATCAGGTAGTATTTATCAAATTTCATGAGGGGGGTTTTGATTGGTCAAAGCTCCTTTGGTATCATGTCTTTCCAGAAGCATAAATTTTGCCATGTTACAAAGATAAATAAATAAAAGGGTAAGAACTTGTAGCTCATATTAAAACTAACCTTTTACAGATAAACAAACACTTGCTTGATTTGCTGACTCATTATTAGATACAGAGTTATTATCCTCCAATGCAACAGCTGTGGCTGATGACAATTTGACTATAAGAGTATTATCTTCATGTTCAGAGGTGAAGTTTGAAGCATCAGAACTTGCACCATGAACCTTTCTTTCCACTATATCTGAGTCAGTGGATCCAACTTTGTGATCTAAGCTGAAAGGAAAACTTGGTCTATTCAAGGATATTGGAGCATATGTACATTCTAATGAGGTTTTTGGTGGTTCATTTTCATGAGAACGATTAAGTTGACTGTTTCCTGCATCCTGTACATTTTCCAGGTTCTTCTTCCTATCATAAATTTCTTTTGCTACTCCTTTTATATGGCTTGCTGATCTGCTTTGAAGATGGCCATTTTCAAGCTTTTCAGATCTCACCAAGGCCTCAATTATAGAATGGACCTGTTTACTATTTCTCACATGGTTAATGATGCCAGGATTCAATCCATTGAGCAAACCACTGGGAGCAGCAATCTTTGTGAACCTGTTAACTTGTTCTCTCTTTGCAAGCTCCATTTTTTTCTTGAGCACATCATTTTTACCTTTCCTCCCACGCTGTTTTGGCATTGGAATGCCTCCATGAGAAGATGACATGAAGCCATTCTTTTTCATCTCTTTCCACATTCTCAATGAGTCATTCTCCTCCAAAGGCCCAGTTGAGCTCCCGCACTCAGAAGCCTCTCTGGATTTCACATGATCAAGAAGTTTGAGATGAAAAAAAGGATCTTGGACTACTGAGCTAGATGCATCTTGTGCATTGAGATCCAACTCGGTTCCTTTGGAATTGGAAGTCATAAAATTAAGGTCACAATCTGTCTGATGCTTTTCAATCAAGGATGGTTTTCTAATGTGATTGGTGTATACCAATGTTTTACCATGCACTGAATTATTAACAGATTGGGCTTTGGCATTGAGATCTAAAGGATTTGGAGCAATGTGAGTGTTGCCCAAACTCAAACAAGTAGCATCCTCTAAGAGAGAAGGTTTGTTCCCTCCCATTCTTATTGTCTGAGATACATCCAAAATTGTGGTCGCAGGCTGTTCTGTAATTCGGGATGACTCCTTTTGTTTGTCAAGGTGCAATTGGTCCATGGTTTCTCTCCTCATTGAAGGTTCTGAATAGTGAATTTCATTAACTGCAAGACAAAACTATGACTTAGAACTGGGAATTTTAGGTGTGGCAAAAACATGGATATAAACAAGTAAGTCAAAGTGCAGGAAAGAAAACAAAGCGTGACTGACCAGCTGAATGAACAGAAACACCACATAGGACAATGTGAATGAACAGGAAAGAAGATCCTTCATGAGATTTCAGAATTACAACCCACTGTGCATTATTATAACCAGTTTTGATAAAATATGATAGGAAAAACAAACAATTTACCATTTGACAATTCACAACATTTTAAATTTATTAATAATTTTTTTCTCAATAAAAGAAAAAAAAAAAGCCAAAGGTTACAATTATGTTGGTTGAAAAATCATGACAGAACCTTGTACACTACTTACAAATGGAAAATTTTAAAAGGGCAAACCCTTAACCCACAGAAACATTTCAGATTAATCCTCTTTCGGCATTTGATTCCAATTCACTGAAACGGTAATAAGCAAGAATAAGCCATGCAAGAACTTGAATCATATCTCCCAACTGATCTTGAGTAGTAGATAATATACAAATACAAGTGCTAATTTAAACTCTAAGCATGACAAATGATCTATCATCTATGGTAGGCATTAAAATATAAATAAAAATGAAGTATTTCCAAAGAAAGTAAAGATAAACAATAATGTGAAAATAGAAACTCACTCAAACTAGCCTCGGAGCGGAACACTGACTCCAAACCTCTAATTTTAATTCGCTTGCGAGCGAGCTCTGAATTTTCTCCCAATTGTGTACAATCCCGCTTCCCTACCAACGGCTGACAAAACAAAAAAAAGAAAAGTCACCAGAGAGAACACAAGAAACAATTAAGATGTCTGGGCAAAGTGAAAAGAGAAACTGTAGAACCTTTGGATCCGATCTAGGATTCACGAGCAATGGACCCGGTGCAGATCCCGAGCCAAACCGATCCTCCATGATGGTTTCCCACGAAAGACAATAGAATGAAAAAAAAAAAAAAATCAAATCTGCCGACGTTCAGTTCGTGAGTTACAGTTCAATTCAACAAACCAGATAATAGAGACACCCATTCGTGAAAAATAGAAAACCAGACGAATGTTGGGGCCCCAAGTGTTCTCTGGTGCCAAGAGATACAGAGAAGAAGCGAAAGAGGCGTTGCATTGATCGACAACAGATTGGATCTTTGCTGAAAGGAGAGTATGAAGGGTGGGGGTTAGGGTTTTTAAGGTTGCGGTTGCATTCAAACTTCAAATCTGGTTACTTTTTTTCTTATTATATTCCTTTTTGAATACGCAGCAAAGCGCTGACAAGCCGAGCGTTTATCTGTTTAATTCCTGGCTCTCTGTTTCGATCCCTCGCTCGCAAAACGCAAACTCGCAAGTCGCAACGGGTGGGTGTGACACTGTGACTGTGTGGTGTGGGCCTTCTTTTTTGGTGGTTGATTTTCAAATTCAAATGTGACGCAGTGGTGGGGACCGGCGCGGGACGGGAACGGCCCTTGCGCCATGCGGGGATGCGGCTGCTTTGGCAATTGGCACATTGGATTAGACGCACTCCATCTCTATGAAGATGAGACGCATACTACTACAACAGTTCAACTCAAAGCCCAAAGCCCCAGCCATACCTCTCATTTCGTCAAAATATTCAAACCTTCTTCTCACTTCGTCTTATCGCTCTCTCTTCTTCTTAGTTCTTCCCTCGTTTCAATTTACCGCCCAAAATAGAGTTGTTTGGTATCGATGGCGTTTATAAGAAAAACGTAATATACTAGATGTCATTAGGTGTCATATAAGCCAAACAGTGAAAAATCAGTCTTAAAAATAAAAAACGTCAAAATTGATATGTTTTTCATAAACAGTTCATACGATTTTCGAGAGAACCATTCATGCAACCAAATAACTTTTTAGACGTTTTTCTATTAAATGCATCTCCAATACTGAGCTGACACCGTTTCTTTCAAAAGCTACATCCATACCAAACACCATTTTATTTATGTTGTCAAATTGTCATTGTATTCTGCACAGCCAATTGGTACACCATTGGATTTGTCAACTTTACAAGTTTTTCAAACAATGTCCTATGTTTAAGGTTGGTGGGTTAGGACTTACCCAATCCATCTAATTTATACTTTGCTCTATTAGAGAGAGTCAAATGAGACTGAAAGAGACTTCAGACTTCAGAGGAAATGAGGTATTTACGTGGGGTGAGGAGATGCTATAAACATTAACTATTGCAAAATATGCGCTTAACATTTCCAGGATCATCACTTGCTCCATCCCTCCAAATTTTCTCTTGCCTGTAGTAAATGATGTTGATTATTGATTTGGATGAATGAATCTGACTTAAGGGCTTTCTATAAAAAAAGCACTAACTATTAGACGAGAGAGGAAGGAGGGAAATTTAACTTTTAAGAATGAATTATAAAGTCATAATACAGAAAAGTAGTAATGAAATCTGAAAGTAAACTCATGCGATGAATGCGGTTAAATATAAAAATGGTTAAGTTGGGTTGCCAAATTTGAAGAATCTCGGCTCGGATTGAGTTTTGGGCCATTCAAAAATGTATCAAACTCCCAACCCGAGCTGACGTAAGCTGCACCTCATCACTTAAGGTTTAGGCTAGGTTCATATTTTATGTATTGATTTGGTCCTTAACCCAATCAAGTTCATCAAATTTATGCCCATTTATTAGATAGAGCCAAAATGGTTAGATTTAAGACGAAATGAGAGTTTTAATGGACGGAAGATGATATATATATATAGAGAGAGAGACTTAAGCATGATCTTATTGGAAAGAGTAATAATGGATTTTATTATAATAGTTAAATCTATATCCAAAATTTTTAATAATATTAAATCAATGTTCTTTTAAAACAAACCTAAAATGAAAAAAAATATATATCTTCTAGCAGGTAAGCAGTCAAAAAGGGTTGATTCATGATGTCATAATTAAATAATAATTTTTTTAAATATAAAATAAGTACAAAAAAAATAGAAAAATTTGGATACATCTCTAATATTTCTATTAAGCATATTAAAAAAATAAGTGTGATAAACAATAATTATTTTTATCAAGGTTTCTAAAACCAACCCGGAGAACGAACCGGACAGGGGTCCAATTCCCGGGTTGAAACTAACGATCGGCCCATTCTGACAAAAAAATAAAAAAGTAAAAAAGTAAATAACGGTCAAACTATTCAAACTATTAATTGCCCGGCTCAGAAGTTTGCTGACCAAAATCAGTGGTTTTTGGAGAAAATCCAGTTTTGGGGGAAAATGAAACCAGTCACTTGACTGGTTCCCGGTTTTTCCGGTATGACCGTCCAGTCCAGTCCGATTTTGAAAACCATGATTTATATTGATAATGAAAATGAAATACAAAATTTAAAACCTATCAAAAATTGAAATGGTGTTTCCATTTAGTGGCAAGTCAATAGTTCAACCTTTCAAGTCAAATGTGTTAACCCTTGGTGTCATAATTAAATAATAAAAACTAAAAAAGACAAAGGCAAATAAGTACAAAAATCATAGAAAAATTATAGAAAAACATTTAAACACATACCTAATATTATATGTTCATCCTAATAAACATAAAATGTGATAAATAAGAATTATGTTTATGCACCTAAAGATATAAAAAAAGTTATCATAAAATTTGGACATATATTCTTGTTATTATCACCACCATCATCATCATCATTATCAACTAAAAATTGTTATGTGCAAAACACATGTATATTTTATTGATAATAAAAAAGAGGGAATGATAATTAATATACAACTCCTACTTCTTTGCCTCGTGGGATGGTGGAATGATGTAGAGGCAAATTACAGGTTGAACGTATCTTTTATTGGCTCTACCTCGTGTCTATGCAGGATAAAAAACAAATAGTTGTATAATCTTGCTGGCATATATATCTTTTTCTTTTTTTGTTGGTATTTAATGACACCAATATTTATATACTATACTATATAAAGTGGATTTTGCCTTGGGTTTCATATAGGTAATAAAATTTAAATCCAAATACAATATATTAAGTGACTTGCAAATGTGCAATATAATTGTGGTTGGAACTTGTAAGGGAGCTGATCTGTACGTATCATTTAGATAATTTCCCACTACAGGGAGGGCCAAGATTTAATTATCCCAAATTTCTTCTTGTAATTGAAACCAAAATTAAATACATTTCAACGTCACTCGAGTGACTGATCCCAACCATTAGATATTTAGATGGGTTGGGCCTTGATGACTAGAAGTCTAGAACAACGCCCCCGTCGGCTCTTCCCCCCAATGTTATATTCTGGGGAACAAAAATCTGAATCAATAGGGTCGAGTTAAAAAACGTTTGCCAGTAAACCCGACGTCCCTAGTGCTATACTGCTATCCATCAGCCTCAACTTGGCAAAGTTGGGATCTGCTCGGCTCTTCGGGAGCAAATCTGGTCTCCAATTGACATAACATCCAATAAAACTAAGCCTCAATCGAAAATGTTGGAGGGAGATTCAAATTTATAAGAATCTTGTTCTTCATTTTTTATTTTTGTCATTTCTTCTCTTGAGTGATTCTTTGTCCCATTTTGCTTGGAAAAGGAGTATGAGTAGAGTATATTTATAGTTTTGCTCCCTCTATGATTAGGGACCTATAGGAGGAGAGGACTATAGATATTCCATGCATGTGAGGGGGGTTAGGGGTGTTTTTCACATGCGTGCGCTGAGTTGGGGTGCGGGCGTGCATGTATGTGTATGTGTATGTGTGATGCAGTAAATCATTAGTTTTATCCGAATTACACATTTTCAATTTTAAAATGTGTCTCTTCAATTTCAAATTTAATTTTTAAATAAATTGTTTTCCTTTTTTTTCGTGTCTCTTCTTCCTCCTTGTTCGAGTGCACGCCTACCAGTGGCCTGTCAGTTGTTTTATCTTAGCGACCAGTTTGCGATCACTCGACTGCACCGTAGGGGGCAAATACGGTTTTAAGGAGAGTGACCAAGTGGCATGACTCAGCCCTCCATCTTCCTGCAATTTCTAGTTTCGAGTTCCTGCAACAACTTCAAATCACTGCAACTTCGACAAAGGAAAGTGATTATCGATAAGTTCTATTTGCTCTCTCTTTACTATTTTTCAACATTCTTAAAATCGTATTTATGGAACCTATCTCTGCTAACCCCTTCATGAGGAACCAGATACTGTCAATAGTTCCTGATTTATCTAAAATTAAACCCTTCAATGGAACCAACTACAAGCATTGGAGACAACACCTGTTGTTTGCCTTAGAACAGTTAGGGGAAGCTTTTGCTTTGACTGAACCAAACCCATTAAACATTAAGGAACCAGCCCGTTCTCTCCTCCCTCTTTTATTTTTGTCCTTTCCTCCCTTGAATGACTCATTGTCCCACATTGCTTGGGAAAGGAGTGGGAGTAGAGTATATTTGTAATTTTGCTCCCTCTTTGGGTAGGGACCGATAGGAAGAGAGGACTATAGATATTTCATGCATGTGAGGGGGGTTGGGGGTGCTTTTTACACGCGCGCGCCGAGCTGGGGCGCGAGCGCACGTGTACGTGTACGTATATGTGTACGCACGATGCACTGAATCATTAGTTTTATCCGAATTAGGCCTTTTCAATTTTAAAACGTGTCTCTTTAAATTCAAATTAATTTTTAAATAAATTCCTTTCCTTTTTTTTCGTGTCTCTTCTTCCTCTTTGTTCGAGTGCACGCCTACCAGTGGCATGTGGGATGTTTTATCTTAGCGACCGGTTTGCGATCACCCGGCTGCACCGTAGGGGGCAAATACAATTTTAACGAGAGTGACCAAGTGGCATGACTCAGCCCTCCATCTTCTTGCAATTTCTAGTTTCGAGTTCCTGCAACAACTTAAAATCACTACAACTTCGACAAAGGAAAGTGATTACCGATAAGTTCCATTTGCTCTCTCTTTACTGTTTTTCAACATTCTTAAAATCGTATTTATGGAACCTATTTCTACTAACCCCTTCATGAGGAACCGAATACTGTCAACAATTCCTGATTTCTCTAAAATTGATCCCTTCAATGGAACCAACTACAAGCGTTGGAGACAATGCCTGTTGTTTGCCTTAGAACAATTAGGGGTAGCTTTCGCTTTGACTAAACCAAACCCATTAAACGTGGAGGAACCAGTCCGTTCTATTGTTGCAAAACATTGGAGTACAACCGTGTTAGACAGTGTATGCCCTTAGCTCCAATCAGAATGATGTACCTTATAACATTTAATGTAAATGAATAAAGTACATATTTGATTCATGTTATTATGGTGTGTTTCTGTGTAATACCCTTAAACTGGACACATATGAGACTCGTGTTAGTTTAGAATCTTCACAACCATTGGATAGATCTGGGGAGATTTATCCTACCAAGGCTGACATTGATGTGCCGCCAAGTTGGTTGGGGTGGCTTGTCTCAGCTGCTAGGGTGAGACCTGAGATACATGCAGTGTGGGTTTTCTTGAAACCCTGAACCGGACCAGGATTCCAGTATTGCCCTGAACCTTGGAGATAGATGGGCAAAACTGGAATGTTATACCTGACCCCTAGACTCAGTTATGATACTGCACTAGGTATTGGATTGGGTTGTTTTTGATAT